CACATTAAAGTGGGATAAAGTCCACAAATAGCGTTATGTCAATTCCAGTCAGATTTTGCTCCCAATGAACTATGAACAAAAATTCTGTTTTCAAGCATTTTTGGAGTTTAGAATTTAGATAGGGAATTTTGGACCTATTTTCCCCTGAGAAAAATAACCAACCCTCCCGTTGTAGGGGAAAAAAAAAGAGAAATGTCTAAAAGGTCCCCTTGAAAAAAAAATTCTTCCTCTTTTTGTGATCACAAGAAATCCTCCAAAATAATCTCTGAAATGATTTCATTTACAGAGTTATATACAGAAAAAGGCTAATCCACCATTAACTTCTATTTAGGCACACTGCAAGAAATTAGCTCCTAATACAAACCTAAAGATGTCTTCGAACATTAATTAGCAGTGCATGACAAGATAAATTTATGAGTTCTACAGCACATTCAAAAGATCCTTAGCCAGGTGGCTCAGTTGGTTGAGCTTAATCCACTGCACCAAAAGGATGTGGGTTCAATCCCAGGTCAGGGCACCTAGCTAGGTTGTGGGTTCAGTCCCCAATATGGGAGGCAGCCAATTGATGTTTCTCTCTCACATCTATGTTTCTCTCTCTCCCTTCCACTCTTTCTGGAATCAATCAACATGTCCTTAGGCAAGGATTTTTAAAAACTTTTCTTTTTAACCTCGGTTTTGTCTCTTTTTCATTTCTATGTGTGATGTGCCATGTGCCCCTCCCCTGCCCATGTTTATGGAAGCATGTCTTGAAATGACGACATCCTTGGCTCAGATCCCTTATGTGACTCTTTCAAACACTGTCAACAATTGTTAGATATGTAATATGAATTAGAAACAAATTTTATGTGTGAAAACTTTGGGGTTTAGGGGTAGCCTATGCAAATTAACTACTTTCTCACTACTTTATTTCAATAACTAAAGTTGTGGCTTACTACCTCTACATAAAGATTTTTGAATAAATTACTTCAGTTCCCATCAATAATTCAAATCTCATCACATTCCCATTTTGTATCTTGTGAATTCTATTTAAAATAAACCTACTTATAGTCCTCTAAATCAAACTCCTATCTTCTCATTTACTTTTTTTATGTCAGAGTATTACTATTATTGTAGTATGGGCTGCAATCCCATCGAGTACCACATTTTAAAGGAGATTCTGCGCACAGATGCAATACTCATGGTATGTTCAGTGACTTGGTACTTGACACTAGAGCCCACAATACCCTTGCAGAGGAAGTCTCTTCTGTTTCTTTTCAAAACTATGGAGGCTGGGAAGAAAAAGCTGGTATTAGCCTATATGTGAAAATTTTCTCATACAGAACATTGTTGATTTCCTTTGAAAAACATGAGGCCTAATATAGATAACTAGGGAAATGGCACAGCAGCACAAGTCTGCTCTACATTTGGGTAACCTGTTAAGTAACGCCTTAGAAGACGTGAATTCTTAGCTTCTGAGAATAGTCGAACTGAACTCTCCATTTTTGGGGAAGAGTTCCTGGATACACAGAAATATCATCTTGGCTGTCAGAAGGAATTATAGCTGGCAAGGCCTGTTTGATAAGCCTGCTGAAGCATCAGGTGAAGAGTTTTTTTTGTTTTTTGTTTTTTTTTTTTAAGATTTTAGTTATTTTTTAGGGAGGGAGAAAGGGAGAAAAACATTGATTTGTAAAGCATCGATCAGTTGCCTCTCACATCCCCCGAACTGGGTACCTGGCACAAAAACCCAGGCATGTGCCCTGACCAGGAATTGAACTGGCGACCTTTTGGTTTACAGGCCAGCACTCATCCCACTGAGCGGCACCAGCCAAGGCAAGAGACAACTTTTTAAAACTGAATTTATTGGAGTGACATTGGTTAATAAAAGTATATACGTTTCAAATGTACATCATCTGTATATTGTTTTGTGTGTTCACCCTCCAAAGTCTCTTTTTGAACCATTTATCCCATTACCCTCTGCTACTTCCGTCTACCCTCCTTCCCTTCTTGTAATTACCATATTGTTCTCTGCATCTGTTTGTTTAGTGTCTTCAGCTTTTTCATGGAGCTCCCCACATGACAGCTATAAAGTCTGTTTTCTGTATTGTTTTATTTTCTTCATTAGATTTCACGTATCCATGAAATCATAAAGGCAGTTCAGCAAGTCTTCCCATTGTACCAAGTCCCAAAGTCAGCTACTTAAAAATCGAGATCTCCACTTGGCAGAATGCTTTCTCTCCTATTTATCTAAGATCTTAATACTCATTGTTGTACCTGCAAATAAACTTGTTTTGCATTATAAAAACAAACAAAAAAACTCCATTAGTTTCACCTAACTACACTTTAGAATTAGAAAAGGAAATACAACGAAAATGAGCTCCTTCTATCCAGTTGAGGGAAAGGTAGAGAAGGGGGAGAATTACAAAGAGTGAAGCCTGGTAGCTTGGCATATGACGGTTGCCACTAACGTCATCATTCTTTCTATTCAGATGACAAACTACTCCAGCTTCTGGTGTAGAAAACAGGGCAACCCTGAGCACTGATCCTTACTCCAAGTGGGTACCACATACCGTTTGCCCAGGGCAATCATGATTTATACCTGTTACCCTTATATTAGTAACTTCCTTTCACTCTCAAAATCATTACAGGTTCAATGAGAAATCATCCTTTGATCCAGATAGAAGCCATTTTCATCCCAAGGGAAAGCATGCCTGTGTATTTGAATATTCTGCATTCAGTCCACGGATAGGAGAAAGAGGGCATGGATTTTGCTGCCATCTTCTTGTTTGCAAAGCTCAAATTGATTAGCTTCTTATGAAGTGTCTGGAGTATAGTAACTGAATAAAACACATGAGAAGTCTAAGGAGAATTGAAATGGGCCATTCTAAAAATTACTCAAATTAGTCTAAGTGCCCCTCAGCAACAATGAATATCTTTAAATAGAAGAATCATTTCCAATGGGTCAGGACATCTTAATCTGGAAGTACAAAGGAAGCAACTAGAAAACATCTGAAAGAGTAAAAACAGTCACGGTCGTACGGGCAGTTAGAATGGCAGTTATGAAACGTAAAAGAAAAAAATGACGGACCACACTGCAATGCCTTTTAGATACCTACCAATTATCAGTCTGTGATCTATGTGAAGACTTTTGCACAAGATAAAATCCAGTTTACTGCTTCTGTTTATAATTATTCTTTATATGTATGGTACTTTCACATAGAAAATCAAGAAAACAGGATCCATGTTCCTCTGGTACAGCCCAGATAGTACAGGCAAGAGACATCTCAAGCATTCGTAAGGAATAATATAATGGTTAGGAGCATGAGCTCTGGAGCAAGACTATCGATGTTCAAAACGTAGCTCCGTATCTTACTAGCTATGTGACCATGGGTATGTTATGACACCATTTCTTTGCCTCAATTTTTCCAGGATCCCTGTGTTGTACAACTGCAAGGGAACACTACTCACACTGGATTATGGTTTCCTTATTTGGAAAATGGAGATATTTTTCAGGATTTCACTCTTAAGAGTTGTGCAGATTTAACAAGTGAAATCAGTCAAGTACTTAGTGCCTTGCAAACATTAACAAATTAGCTATTATATTATTAGTAGTACAACTACTACTACACTACACCTAGCATTTCCAATGCAAGTATCAGTAAGGTCCCCTTTTATCAACAGCCACAGGAGCTCTATTGGTGAAATATGTAAGATGTCTAAGAATCATGGGAGAGTTGAGGCTGAAAATATGACAAAGGCACACCGAGCCACCTTTTTGTTTTTCTGGTTTACAAAATTATCTTCAATGCATCTATGTAAATATGCTTTAGGGTCAATCATGTATTTTGATCTCAACAAATATATATTAAAGCAAATGTTTAGAATTGAAAACAAAGTTATAAATCACAAATTCTACTTCTTTTACAGAGCAGGAAATAGGCCTGAGAGGCTGACGACTTGCCTCCACTTAGTCACTGAGTTCATGATGGCACTAGAACCATGGGAATGAGAACCCCTGGACTTGACTTCCCCCACAGCTTTCTGTGTACAGTCTGGATACTAAAATATAACTCAATACACTTCATTTAATATTTATTTAGCATTCAATTTACAGCTCTATAAGGGGAGAAATTTATAGCAAAAAAGGAAAGTACAATTTTCTCTTTCTGAAAGATTCTGCTTTGCCACAGGGATAGCAAAACACACATGCGTGCATGCGCACGAACACCCCTTGCCCCCCAAAATATTATCTTTGAAGGCAAGAAACACCAAATTTAACTAAGTTTTTAGAAATGATATGGGCTTGAAAGAAAAGGCGAGGACACCTGAAAAGTAATTTAACTTTTGTTTAACCTTAAGCTTGTCAATTGCTCCTTTCCTTAAATAGCTTTGTCATGTTTGATACCCAGCTACACTCATATTGGAAACTTAGTAAAAACTACTTAGTGATTCCACCTGGAAGTTAAAACCATACAACTAAGATGTTTTGAATAAAAACCTATCCACATGCCAGATAAATTTTAGGAACTCTTGCCACTTCTTTTACAGCATCTTTATCTATCCTGGTGTAGTTTGATTAAGGGCCACAAAGCTAACTTCCTTAAATGAGACAAAATTTTAAGTTTCCCAACTACCACTGTGTAAATAAGAAATCTTCCTTTCAAATACAAAATCAATCTCCTCGACTGTACAATGAATTGTAATTTAATGGTTTTTCTCTCACTACTTCACTTCAAATAGTGACCTATACATTTTGTTTAAGCAATAATAAATTTTTCTGATTTCTTCAGAATAGAAAAAAAAATCAAATGTGTTAGAGATGCTACTAAAAATATTTCATCTATCAAATATAGGGCCTGTGCATTGAAACATATAGAAATTTTTCCAATTAATTTTCAAATCTTACAGAGCCTCTATTTTATAATATACCATCTTTGAAATAATTTGAGTGAATGCTCTAACAAAAACTGATTCATAAGTCCCTATTACCATACTCATCAGTTTTAACAAGTCTCCTAAATATGTTGTCAGTTTTATTAGATGTCAATAATATGGAAATATTTTGACATAACAGAATATTTAATTACATCAGTTTCCCTTCAAACAAGTCATTTGATGATGGTTATATTGGCCATTTCCACTGGTTGGCAGGAGGCTCTTCCACTAAAGGCTCCCATGGTTTCCATTGTATCATTTTCCTCGCCAGACTTAGTTCATTTTCAGCCTGTTAGTAAAGTTGGAAAAAAAATCATTTGATTATACTGTGTAATAGATATTTATCACAGTTAATAACATATAACTATTAGAGATACTATTTTCACATTAACACTTAGTAAGCTGTTCTACCATCAAATGTTGAATATTAATTAAATTACCTTAATTGCCACAGCTATGCAATTACCATAAGTACAAAAGGATAGATTTTGATTTCTTCTATTTGCTTAAAATTTCCTATTAGATTATTTAAATATAAAATTGGTGAGTTCAATCTTAATCATCTATTTCACCATTAGACTACAAATTCTTTGAGGATCAAAAAGTATGTCTCCTCATTGACGTCAATGGCTTTCAAACTTTATTTTACCATGGCCCACAGTAAAAGGAAAAAATAACATTTTACTAAGGGATCCACAATATACAACTCCAACAAAAAAAAATATTACCTTTACTATAATAACTATGATGCACTCTATTTTCTTTTGTATTTTGTTAAGTGCTAGTCACAAGCCACCTGTCTGATTTCATGACCCATAATCATCTGAGCCCAGCTTACAAAACAGGGATCTATGAAATGCAGGAGACTACAGTAGCTGCAAAAGAAAATCTACTGATTGAATTAGTTGCATTAATCAGACTGTTACACATTTATTTTCCCTTTCAAACACAATTAATAACACATTTAACAAATATATTTTACATATCTTATCATTTTACATTTCTCCTAGAACAAGGGACATATGGCAACTCTGGCCAACTCAGAAGAACACTGTTGAACACTTGTCAGGATGCCAGAAAAGGAATTCAAACACAGAATAAGTGTTTAGATTCCATGAGAAGCTTAAAAATACTTTAAAAAAAAAACATTTTTGAAAAATACAAAAACATGTAAAAATTAAATGAAACAGAACTAAATATTTGTCAGACTTGTATAAAAAGAGGACATGGGAGACACAGAGGGAGGATTATTTGACCAAATAAAAATCTCACAAACCTCTACATATGGAGGAAATATTCAACTGAAGTCAAAAAGCAAAGAACAGACTAAAAAAATGTTTAGGCAATAAGGCAAAAGATTAAGATTAGTATCCCTTTGATTATTTAAAAAAACAATAAAAGAAATATATAAGAAAAACATTAAAAACAAATTAATGGACTAAAAATATTAATTTATAAAACATAAGAACATATTTTTAAAGTATAATCTTATTTGTAATTGGGGAAACTAATGCACAACTAATAAAGGGGGGGGCATCATTCCCCCCAATTTAATGAAAAATTGTAGCATTACCAAGCCCTTAAAACTTAAAGGTAGTTTCTAAAAAGATAAAATTATTCAAATAACAGTAATATTGTGTTACTAATTTGAACTAAGGTAAGGCTAACAAGAACGTGCCCATTACATCCAGGTGAGATCGGGCGCACACGGCAGTATGGCTGTAGACCCATTATATTCAAAGAATATCAAACTCCAAACTTCAAATAGAAGCCTCATAAATTCAAGTTATAATTAATGCCATTTAACGGACATACAAGTTAGAAGTATTTTCTACACATGATTAGATTTATATTTGGTGAGTTGATACAAGAAATTTAGTTTTCCTTTCTTTCTGGAATGTCAATTTTGTGCCTGTATTCATTATGTCTCGGAACTTTTGAAACCAAACATCTAAATATTCAACTTTTTCTTTACCTGAAGAATCACCTCTTCTATTTGGCCACCCTGAAGTCGGTCTTCTAATTTTTTAACATCTGGTTCCTATAATTTAAGGGAAAAAAAAAATATTTAAACAAAGGAATATCTGAATGTTTTGACATCCTATATTTTAAAAATGCATATACAAAAAAATGCATATATAAATGTAATTAATTTTTCTCTCATCGTATCCTTACTCATTTTTACCAAATATTTGGTGGAAACCCATGTAATCTATTTTATTGCTTTTCTATCTTAATACTAAAGATAATTAAACATGGCCCTGGCTGGTGTGGCTCAGCGGGCTGGGCATCATTCTGCAAACCAAAGGGCTGCCAGTTGGATTTCCAGTTGGGGCACATGCTCAGGATGCAGGCTGGGTCCCAGGTGGGGACATGAGAGAGGCAACCAATTGAGGTTTCTCTTGAACATCGATGTTTCTCTTGCTCTCTCCTTCTTTCCCTCTCTAAAAATAAATGAATAAAATCTTAAAAAAAAGAAGTTAAACATGTATTGACATGCTTATTAAGAGAAGAAATGTTATGATTAATTCACTCTTTCTAAAAGACAGATTTGATTTTATTTTTTTAAAGATTTTATTCATTTACTTCCAGAGAGAGGGGATAAGAGGGAAGAAGAGAGAGAGAGAAACATCAAAGTGTGGTTGCCTCCCAAGCCCCTGACTGGGGACCTGGCCAGTAACACAAGCATGTGCCCTGACTAGGAATCCAACCAGCAACCCTTTGATTCGCAGGCTGGTATTCAATCCACTAAGCCACACCAGCCAGGGCTAAAAATACAGATTTTAAAATACTACTTTATTCTCTTAGTACTGTCTATTATTTCTATTACCATTAAATCACTCTATGACCCAGAATTCCACTCCTAGATATAAACCAAATAGAAATGTATATGTTAAGCAACTGACATGTTCAAGAATGTTCCAAAATTACATGAGGCTGAACACAAATCAGCCTCAAATTACAAAGAGTCCAAATGACCACATTTAATAGAATGAACTACAGTATTTGCATATAGTAAAATACTATAAAGCAATGAGAATGAACAAACTATAAATAACAGCATAGATGATTCTCTCAAATGTAATATTAAGCAAAAGAAAACACACACAAAAGAGTACATACCAATGGTTCTACTCAAAACCTGTCTGAGGTCAGAAGAGCTGTTATGTATTACAAGGGTAGTCACTTAGAAGGAAGAAAGGTTTTGGTGTTCCGGAAATGTCCTCTCTTTTGATTTGGTGTTAACATGGGTGTGATTTTGTGAAAATTCATCAAGCTCTATACTTGTTATTTCTGCACATTTTTTTGTGTATATTATTCTTCAATAAAAGGTTATTTAAAAAAAAGAAATGCTAATACAGTACCTAAAACATCCAATGACATATTATTGGATCACACTTCTGGTGTCTTGGCTGGGACACCCCATTAATAAAAGACAAATCAAACAGGAGAAAAAACAAGCAGAAGTTTAATAATTTACCAAACTAAAGGGTTTTGTTTGCTTCTGCACACCAAAGCCCAATACAATTTGAACAGGAGTGTTCAGCAAAAAAAAAAAAATAATTAAAAAGAAAAAAAAAATAATAATAATACAGGTTTATTTAAGGAAATTGTGCCAGGCTAGAAGACACAAGTTAGCAAATGTTCTAAAACCTGGCTCCTCAATGGCTCTTAAGGGATGGATTATATATGGCAGAAATAGTTAATCACAGTGATTATTGTAGGTGGAATCGTGGCCTCCATGGATTGGTTGGGGCCAGGATAGGGAGTAGTTGATTATTTGTTTCAGGCCCTGATGTCAGCTATGGAGTCATTCTGTCTAGTTTTGTGAGGCTGTGGGAGGTAGAGTCGTTCCAGCTTGATAGGCCTGGGGCTGAAACAGAACTGAGGTCAAGATGTTATTTTTAGTTGGACTGGAACTATGTTCCCTTGATCAATGGACCTGAGGTTTTATTCTTTAGACAGTTTGACCCTAATTATAACCAGATGTGCTAAGAGCTTAATGATAAGGGAGTGGATATGCAGAATGTGAAAAAGTAGAAGGGTCTGGTTAAAGAGAGGCAAATGAGTCATGATGCTATTAGACTGGACAGATTTGGCTTGAATTAGGAAAAACTCATATTAAACAAATGAACCCCTAGTAGCCACAGCAATTTTGAGAAAGAAAAACAAAGTAGGAGGCATCACAATACTGGACATCAAACTATATTACAAAGCCACTATACTCAAAACAATCTGGTACTGGCACAAGAACAGACCCATAGACCAGTGGAACAGAATAGAAAGCCCAGAAAAAATTTACTTATTTTACAGAAGACTGAGTTTTTGAAAGCCAAAAACCATGTCATATACATACATATATGTAAATATATGTAAATAGGGTGGGTTTTTTGGACCATAAATGAAATAAAAATAGGGAGAAAAAAAAGATATTCGCTACAGGAATTGGCATGCTTCTGCCGCAGGGTATCTGCTGGCTGACCCAGTGTATCTGCATGGCTTGTTCCTTCACTTCTATCCAAGTCCTCCCTTGTGTATTATCTCCTTAGGGAGGATCACTTGTACTGTGATAAACTCAGTAATGCCCCATGGGATGTACCTGAACTAATCCCTGGAACCTGTGAATGTTATGTTAGATGGCAAAGACTCTGTAGGTGTGATTAAGAATCTTGAGATCAGGAGGTTATCCCAGATTATCTGAGAAGGCACTAAACACGATTACAGGTGTCCTTATAAGACAGAGGCAGAGGTAAACTACATACAGAAGAGGAGAAAGTAATATAACCACAGAGGCAGAGTTTGGATTGATGCAGCCACAACCTAAGGCAGGCCCAAAACCACCAGAGCTGAAAGAAGCAAGAAATCAATTTCACCCTAGAGTCTCCAAAGGGAACACAACCTTGCCAACCCCTTGATTCGGGTCTCTGATACTGATTTTAGATTTTTGGCTTCCAGAAATATAAGAGAATAAATTTCTATTGTTTTAAGCCACCAAGTTTGTGGTCATTTGTTACAGCAGCCATAGGAAATTAATACATATTATAACATCCTTCATTATCCTGGAAGACAATTTTCTTCCTTTTAAAATTTTCCTTCACTACATTTTCTGATAATATACTTCTTTATTTACTTACTTCTTCTTCTTTTTTTTTTTTTTTGGCCTCCCATCATTAACAACAGGAAGGCAGGGATTTTTATGTTTGGTTCATTACCATGTAAGCACTAGCTTTCATCCCTACAACATGTGGCATACAACCAGCATTCAGTGTTCCTTGATTAAGGGTAGTTGGAAAAAAGGAGGGAAAATGCAGATGAATATGTTTGAGACAGACTGTTTAATTCAGAATTAACTGAGCTAAAAAGCCAAAAATCAAAAACAAAAGAGGGAAGCTGGTCATTGTTATAAAGGACCCAGGAGGATGAAGGTTAAAAATGCAAGGAATGTTCAATATTTTCAACTCAAGAAAAGCCTGTATTAGAAAAACAATTCAAAATTTGTCTTACTGAAGGTAAGTCAATAATGTGACTTTTATTTACCAATGGCATACTGCCATCAAGCTAAATAAGGTACCACATACTGAATGCTCACTATACACTGCAACTGTGTTTAAACACTTTACATAAATCACCTCATTTGGTCCTAACAATAATGTTCAAGGTAGGTATTAGTATACTCAAGTTATAGATGAGTAAATTTAGACAGTGAAATGTGCACTATGCCAACAGTAATTCAGCAATTAAGTATTAGAACTGAGATGAAAACTTCAGACAGGCTACAAACCAGTACTTTATACCAATATGCTATTACTGCTGCCCTAGTATAATCTGAAAAAGTATTTTTTCTTATCCATTCTAGGCTTAGTCAACAGATACTTTGCAATCATTAATGATATTCACTGAGACCTTGTGTGGCCCTAAGGGGGGTTAAAAATCTGTGATAATTTAACCATAAACAGGAATCAGTGATATAACTATTACAAAGTGTAAGGGGCTGTTAAAAACGATTTGTATTTAGCCTTTTGGAGAAACAAACATTTCTGAGAGACCTTATATAAGTGCCAGGGGCTACACCAGATTCTTAGGATACAAGATGGATGCAATTGTCATTCATTAGCAGCTTACATACTAGTGGAGGAGACATGAATGAGAAACAGTGTGATAGGTACATTACCAGCACAGAAGCTGTCAATCTCTACTTAGGGATGTAAGAAAAGGCTTCAGAGAGAAGGTAATGGATCTTGAGGACTGAGTAAGAACTGCCAGATAGATAAGGTAAGGGTGTTCCAGGAAGAGGGGGCAAAAAAAGAACACAAAAACAAAATTGCATGGAATTCACATAACTGTCAACAATTTGGTATACTGCTGAGTATAAGGTACAAAATAGGAAATGATAAAATTGGGAAGATGACCTAGAGCCAGACCTTGGGGAACCTTCCATCCATGCTAAGGACTTTATCATGTAAAGCAGTGGTTCCTAATCTTGGCTGTACATCAAAGTCACACAGGTAAAGATAGCTAGGTAAGTTTTATACAGCCAGTTTAGCATAAATCTATAAACTCAGTCTTTGAAAAATACTGGACAGGAAACGATGGTGAAGTTTTTAAGCTGACAGACACAATGACTTACACACTGGAAAAAAAAAATCACTCTATTGGCAGTGTGGGATATATAATTATGTAGAATGGAACTATACACAGACCAATCAGTTAAAAGGCACTTGAAATAGCACAGGTCAGAGAAAAAAATGTTAAGACTATGAAGTGAAAGTAGCAACAGTGAACTATTCTTCAGTTGACATTCCTATGAGAGGAGAGAAATAGGGCAAAAGTAATAAAGTATAAAAATACAGTTATCTTTTTCTTTTAAAATAGAAACAAGGTAAATACATTTCAAAGCTATCTAAGAAAGAAATGAACTTGATCTTATTCTTTTATCTTTTACACCAGTACTTAATAGGGCTTTGCACATAGAAAGCACTCAGTAAACAGGAGTTTGATAAATGAAAGGGAAAAAGGATTAAAGAAAAGCATGGAAGAAAGGAGAATACAAATAAGAGGAAAGTGTAGAATATGCAAAAAATAAGCAACTGCATTTTTTTGTTAAATGTTTCATTGTATACAATAAATCAAAGAAAACAAAATTAAGTCAGGTACTTACCGCTTTAACCATATCCAGCTTCTCATTTGTAATCTGTTCTGTGTACTTTCTATATGCTGCATTTTTAGGGATTTGCTCAAGAACATCAAGAATTTTTGTGTACAATATTCTTAGCCTCTGAAAACACAAATCATACAAATTTCTATTTTCAAATACCACCAAAGGTTAAATGGAACACTTTAAATTTAAAGTCTCACAGGTTTTAAAAAAAAAAAGACTCTCAACTGTTGTTTTCTTTTTTAAAAAGCATTTAACTTTTGCTGCAATTTTTTCATGTCTATGCCCTACCTCTTTTACAATTTAGGAAAAATTAATTTTTCCTTGTTTATTTTTTATTTGAAATTTTAGTTTAATTGTACAAAATCCATAAGCATACACAAAGTAAACAAACCCTAAGAATTTCTAAGAATCATTTTACTTAAAAAGTAAAGTTAGCAAATTTAGACATTATTTTTATATTTGAATATAATATTTAGACATTTTTATATTTGAATATAATATTCCATAATTGAGGCTATTTTACTGTACTAATATGGAGCCTGACACAAGACCATATAATCTGAATTGTGAGTGTTGTTTCTTTTTTTAAACCATGTTTCTTCTTAATTTTAGCAAAGGGTATGACAAAAGAAAGGCCTCTTAAGAGACTTAAGTTTTAAAATGGGATATTAATATATATGTTTCATAGGGTGTTGTGTACCTTACAACAGTACCTGGCACTCATTAGGTTTCAATAAATGTCAGCATTGTTATTCCATAGGGGAAGAAGTGGTCATTTCAGCAGGTATCAGAGAAGGGGTCACAGAAAAGGCAGCACTGCGGATAGACCTGGAGGGACAGTAGGGCTTGGACAACTACAGATGTTGAAAAAGGCGATTTTACACATTGACTGCATATATAGGATTGAATGAGAGAGAATACAGGGAACATAAAATAATCGGTATGTAATTCTATTTTCCTTGAACTGTGTTGTCCAATGGAGTGGCCACTGGCCAAATATGGTAATTGAGCACCTGAAATGTAGCTAGTCAGAACAGAGATGTGGTAGAAGTGTAAACACACACTAAACTTTAAATACTTAGTATGGACTTCCGGCCAAGATGGAGGCGTAGGTAGATACACTTTGCCTCTTCATGCGACTAAAAGATGGACAACAAGAAGTTTAGAAAGAAAAAATAATCAGAACTGCCAGAGAATCGAACTGCATGGAAGTCCAACAACCAAGGAGCTAAAGAAGCATTCATCCAGACCGGGAGGACGGGCAGAGAAGGGCAGCCAGCAGAGAGGATGAGCAGCAAGGCAGTGGCTAAAGGACCAGGCAGTCAAGGTGGTGGCTGGTGAACCGGATGGTCCCATGTTTGCGTGTGGATACACTGGGAGGACCAGCCAGGGAGTGAGACAGACTGCAATCCAGGGTTCCAATGTGGGAAAAGAGAGCCTCAAAACCTCTGGAGGTAAAAACCTGTGGGGGTTGTGGTGGCAGGAGAAACTCCCAGCCTCACAGGAGAGTCCGTTGGTAAGACCCACAGGGTTGAAGAACTTACACAAACCCACCTACCTGGGAAACAGCACCAGAAGGGCTCCATTTGTTTGTGGGTAGCGAGGGAAGTGACTAAAAGGAAGCGACACTATTCCCTCTCGGACCTCTCCCCTATACACAGCGTCACAACACAACGACTTGGGCTGCCCTGCCCTTAGGTGAATACCTAAGGCTCAGCCCCTCAAAATGTAACAGGCGCTCTGAGACAAAGAAATATGGCCCAAAGGAAAGAACAGATCAAAGCTCCAAAAATAGAACTAAGTGATGAATAGATAGCCAACCTATCAGATGCACAGTTCAAAACACTGGTAATCTGGATGCTCACTGAATTGGTTGAGTATGGTCGCAAAATGGAGGAAAAAGTGAAGGCTATGTAAAGTGAAATAAAGAAAAATTTACAGGGAACCAACAGTAAAGGGAAGGAAACCCGGGCTCAAATCAATGTCTGGAAGCAGAAGGAAGAGATAAACATTCAACCAGAACAGAATGAAGAAGCAAGAATTCAGAAAAAATGAGGAGAGGTTTAGGAACCTCTGGAACAACTTTAAATGTTCCAACATCCGAATCATAGGGGTGCCACAAGAGAAGAAGAAAAGCAAGAAATTGAAAACTTATTTGAAAAAATAATGAAGGAGAACTTCCCCAATCTGGTGAAGAGACTTCCAGGAAATCCAGAAAGCTCAGAGAGTCCCAAAAGAAGATGGACCCAAGCAAGCACAAACCAGGGCACATCATAATTACATTACTCAAGATTAAAGATAAGGAGAGAATCTTAAAAGCTGCAAGAGAAAAGGGGACAGTTACTACAAAGGAGTTCCCATAAGACTATCAGCTGAGTTCTCTAAAGAAACCTTACAGGCAAGAAGGGGCTGGCAAGGAATATTCAAAGTCATGAAAGGCAATGACCTATATCCAAGATCACTCTATCCAGCAAAGCTATCATTTAGAATGGAAGAGCAGATAAAGTGTTTCCCAGATAAGGTCAAATTAAAGGAGTTCATCACCACCCATGCATTATTATATGAAATGTTAAAGGGACTTATCTAAGAAAAAGGTAAAAAACTATGAACAATAAAATGACAACAAACTCTCAACTATCGACTGAACCTAAAACAGAAACAAAAACAAAAACAAACTAAGCAAACAACTAGAACAGGAACAGAATCATAGAAATGGAGATCAGTGTGGAGTAGGAAGGGAAACAATGGGGGAAAAGGTACAGGGAATAAGCAGCATATATAGTAGGTACAAAACAGACAGGGGAAGGTTAAGAATAGTATAGGAAATGGAGAAGCCAAAGAACTTAAATGTACGACCCAGGGATATGAACTAAGTAGGGGGAGAATGCTGGGAGGAGGGGCAGTGCAAGGCGGATGGGAATAAAGGGGAGGAAAAAAAAATGGGACAACTGTAATAGCATAATCAATAAAATATATATTAAAAAATAGTATGAAAAGACTATAAACTATCAATTTTTGTTAATTATATATTGAAATGATAATATTCTGGATATGTTATATAAAATATATTAAATTTATCTTTTTCTTTACTGAAAAACGTGACTCCTAAAAAATAACAAACATGTCTTAAATTTATGATGTCATATTTTTATTGGACAGCACATGGACACAATATAGGACACATAGGAAATGCTTAGAAAGTAAGGACGGAGAAAAAGATTTTAAGTGGTTTGGCATGCCACGTTAATGCATTTGGGCTTTATTCTGTGGGCAATAAAATTATCTATACTTCCAGAAAATAATCAGCAGTAGTGAGTTAAAAGGATTAAATGGAGGAACAAACAGAAAGGCCAGTAACAAGGTTGCTGCAATTCTCTACTAAACAAGAGTAAGGGACTAAACTGCGGTTGGTACTCACAGTGGGAAAGGAAAGAGAGGTGAGACGGGAGAGACTGGAGAGGTGTTAGAGAAGATCAACAGATTTCAGGAATGAACATAAAGATGCAAGAGTTAAGAGAAGTATCTACTATGATGTTCAAATTCCCAGCCTGGGGAGTAAAAAGACTGATAACTCTCAAAGAAAATGGGAACAGACTCAGGGATGGAGAGGAGAATGACAGCTATTGGAGGGCAGCAGGGGTGAGGGATTGAGCAAAAAGGACTCAGGGACATGGGCAACAGTGTGATTGCTGGGGGAGGAGGGTGTAAGGGGGCTCAATGGTAATGGGAAAAATTACAATAAAGATTAAATTTTTAAAAAGAAAAATAGAGTCCACAGAGCATGAAACATTTAGAAACAAAAAACCATGAGTTCAGTTTTTGACAATAATGAATCTGAAGTCACTATGAACTTATGATTACATGAAAATCGCTCAACAAACATTTGATTGAGCACACACCATATGCCAGTCATCGTTCTAGCAGTAAACAAAAAATTGCTAGCTTCGCGGAAAACTACTTTCTAAATAGAGATAAACAAAAAACGAGATACAATAGTAGAATACAGTCTATTGACTAGTGAGATGCAGGGCCATATTAAGGACTCTCTTATTTACAGTGAAAGCCACAGGAGGGTTTCCAGGAAAGGAGTGACATGTCTTAACTTACATTTTAGCAGGCTGACTCTGCTATGGCTGAAAAATGACCAAGCTGAGGCAGTGACAAACAGAGAGAGGCCGTTGGGAAGCAAATGCAATTATCTTTAGCAGTGGTGATGGTGGCTAGGATCTGGGTAGTAGCCCAGGAGGTGGTTGAGTATAGGAATATATTTTGAAGGCAAAACACGGGATTTACTGAACTACCAAATTTCAAGGTTTTTGACCTAAGTGATTGGAAGAATGGAACTGCCATTCACTGGGATAAGTAAGGCTGAGAGAGGAGCAGGTTTTAAGATCAGGAACTCAATTTTGGACGTGTTAAGTTTGAGTCGCCTGCCTGACATCCAAGTGCAGACGTCCACTAAGCAATTAAACTTACAACACTCTCATAAAGGGAGAGTTCAGTGCTTGATATGGAAATCTAATTGTTTTTAGTACATAGGGTGGTACTTAAGAACCACTAAACTAAGTCTAGACACCAAGAAAGAGCAAATATAAGTAGAGAAAGGATCCAAACACTAAGTCTTACAACACCAAAATTTAGAAGTGGGAATATGAGAAATAACCCAAAAGGGAAAAGGCAAAAAGAGCAGGGGTAAAAAACAGGTAGCGTCCTGAAGCGCAGTAAAAAAAAAAAAAGCGCTTGGTAGGCAAGGTGCCCCATGTGTCAAATGCTGCTATTGGGTCAAGTAAGATGAGAAATGTGAGGTGACCATGAGATTTCGCAGTGTCAAGATCATGGTGACCTTGAAAAAAAAAAAGAGCACTATGGCCAAGCCTGACTGGAGTGTGTTCAAAGGGGAATAAGAGAAATTGGATAGTATGGACATTTTAACAATGTTAATTCTTCCTATCCATAAAGTGGTACATGCTTCCATTTAGTTTTATCTTCTTCAATTTTTCTTCAGTCTTACAATTTCCTGAATACAGGTCTTTTAGCTCCTTAGTTAAATTTACGATGGTTGCCAGAACGGAGGGGTGTTGGGGGACTGGGTGAAAAAGGGGAGGGGACTGAGAAATACAGACTGGTAGCTACAGGACAGTCATAGGAAACACCACAGGTATGGTGCCAGGTGGGTACTGGAAATACCAGGGGAAACACTTTGTAAAGCATATGACTGTCTAGCTCGTATGCTGCACACTGGAAACTAATACAAAATAATAGTGAATGTAACCTGTAACTGGAAAAAAAATTTTTAATTTTGAAATAAAATTAAAAAAATGGGAAACTGTGGAGTACAGAGAGCGAGTTACCTGTAAAGGGAAAGAGAAACATGGTGTGGTAACTGGAAGGAGGAAAAGGATCGAAGATCTGTTTTGTTTTGTTTTAAGGATGGAAGCATGTCAATGCTGAAGGGGAAGACCTACTAAAAAGGAAAAGTGATGACAGAAGGTGCCAATGCTAGAGCGATACCTGCCGTAAGCCTAAGTGGCACCTAAGTGGCACCTAGGTAGAAGTGAGGCGGGGAAAAGGTGAAAAATGAAGATACACATTTGGGAAGGCATTAACAAAAGTACCAGTGAAGCCACGAGAACGGCCACAAAACACAAGAAAATTTTTTCTTGTCAACAAGAAAAGTGTTTGAAGAAAAAGGTTAATGACAAAAAGAAAAAAATGTGGCGCCGGATCAACAAAGCCGATCGCTCTTGTCTCAAGAGCTCAGGAGGAGGGGTAGTTCTGGGCTAGATCTGTCCGTATTCCTTTGACCTGCCGACACACAAGGGCGCAGGATTCTATTCTTCCTTGAGAACTCGGAGAAAAAGAAAAGAGGTACCTACCTCGTGCGGACTCTCACACACCGCCAACCCCACAAGACCAGTAGTCTGTTCAAAAACAAAACACGATTCATGCTGTTTACAATTCGCCGCGTCCACCAAGCTAAGAAAAAGCAAAACCCCAGGCTACCACTGGCCTGAAACCAGCTACCGTCTCTCAATGCCGCCAGTTCGGAGCTTTTTTTCTGCCCTAAGGGCAAAGCAGAATGACCGCCCCACAGCACCGCCACGCCGCGCCCGTTCCGCCCACCACCCGCGGGATGAGGGGCTTTCGGGCGGACTCTGCCCCACAGTCTAAATTCCGTCAGTGACCTCCATTACCCTTACCTTCTTTAGCACGCCCGCCATGACAACGCCGGAGAGCGGAGTACGCGAAGCCCTCTGGGAATCTTGTTCAGACCCGCTCAATCCACCACCGAGGCCGCCACTCCATCACCTTGGAAACAGCTTGGCTCCTCCCCCTCTCCAAAAGAGAAAATTGACGCACGCGCAATGCTCACACCAGCGTCTATCCGTGCACCGTAGGGGAAAGGGTTGTGTGTTAGGGGTCTTAAGTGTCCTATCCCTTACGCCGCTGACACGTTGCCCAAAAATTGACGGAAATACTCCAAGCTACCAAAAGCTTAGACGTAATCGCGCTAGGAACCTGCACTCTCTTTAACCTTTGGGGAATTCCTTGACGTTCCTTACACAGTGTAGTCAAATGAAGTCGAAGTAAAATGAAGGTGGTGGTGGAGCTATCGTCTAGATGAGCGCTTAACTGCAAATGTTCTTTCGTACAGTAGTCTCAGTATATTGAGCTAAAACATTATCAGTATGCAGTTGCGTTTCCCATCGCAACTTTTTCGTTTCACTCGCTGAAGCTCATCATCTATTTTAGCATTTTCCCAGGCTAGGTGGTATCAGACCACTTTTCCCCACCTACCTCTGCAAACATTTATTGAGCATTTATTGAGACATAATTTGTAAGACAGGATTCCACACCCTGGAACTCACAGAACAATGATGAAGACATGTATTAATGGGTAATTTTAATTTTCCCAAAGAGGTTTCTACCAAGTGTAATGGTAGCAAAGAAGGAGAAATGACTAACCAGAAATTGTGGTTGACTGGAGTTAAGGCATTCATTAAAAAGTTAATGAGAGAACACATGTACAAAGAAATATGTATATTCTAAACAGCAAAAGTTGTAATTTAAATAGTAAAACAACTCACAACATGGGAGAAGATATTTGAAACCACATGTAATCAATCACCAGAAGATAATTGGTGCCTACAATATATAAGGAATTTCTATAAATCAGTAAGAAAAGAACTAATACCAGAACATGTCTCCCTGCTTCCATTCCTACCTTCTTATTTGGAATATCTTAAATGAGTTAACATATGTAAAGTGCTTGCCTCAGCGTGTGAAACAAAGCACCACACATGATTGCTAGTAATTTTTAATTTTGGTATTATTATTTTCGACCTAGTAGCTGGAATAATTCTTTTAGCAAACGCTTTGCTCAAAATTCTGCCATGATTTTTCACTTGAAGTGTAAAAGCCAAAGTCTCTATACCTGCCTGTAAGTTTCTGCACAAGATTGCCCCTTCTGCCACTCATATCTCAGACCTAACCTCCTATTCCCCTTCCCCTGCTCAGGTACCTTCTCCTCTAACTCTTTTTTGGAAAAACTCTTCCACCAGTTGGGCACACAGCTGGCTCTCTCACTTCTTAAAAGTATTTCTGCAAAGACTGCCTTTTAATGTGGCCTACCCTGGCCATAAGATTTCAAATTGAAAGCGACCACAAAGGCACTCTTTATCCTCTTCTCTGCTTCAGTTTTCTTCACAGCCCTTATCACCTTCTAATATGCTATCTAATTATCTCATACTCGTTTTTTTTGTATTACTCTTTTCCGAATACAAGCCATATGTGAAGGGATATTATGTCCTACCATATCTCAAATGCCTAAAATAGTACGTGATGCATATGGTTTTAGTGAAAATTATAGAAAAAAGGCAAAAGAAATTAAAGGGCAATTGACAAAAATGGAAACAGGAACAGTCAATAAACATGAAAAGAACTCAATCTCCCTAATAATTAAGTAAATGGAAATTAATTATAATTTTACTGCTGTCTTATGGACAAAAACTAAGGACTGACAACACCAAGTGTTAGCAAGGATGTGGAGCAACAGGAACACTCATACTATACTGGTGGGAGCGAATTGGTATACTCACTATGGGGAATAATTTTACAATAGTTGAAGACATGTAAAACCTATAACTGAGTGTTATGGGTTGAATTATGTTTCCCCCAAAATTCATATGTTGAAGTCCTAACCCCCACTACCTCAGAAAACGACCCTAGTAGGATATAGGATCATCGCAGATGTAATTCATTGAGGCAAGGTCATTAGAGTGGACCTGTCCAATAAGACTAAAGTTTTTATGAAAGGGGAAATTTGGACACAGAGACATGCGCACACGGAGAATGTCAAGCAAAGAGGAAGGCAGAGATCGGGATGATGCTACTACAAGCCAAAGAACACCAAAGACTGTCAGAAAACCGCTAGAGATTAGGGGAAAGGCCCGGAAAAAATTCTCTCAACTCTGCTGATATCTTAATCTTGAACTTCCAACCTTCAACAGGTGAAGTTACACTTTTATGCTATTTAAGCCACTCAGTTTGTGGTATTTTGTTACAGCAACCCTATAAACCAACACTGAGTAATAGATTAGTTTGATCATATGCACCTCTTCTTCATTTAGGATAGCTGTCTCTAGAAATATGAGCCATGGGATATAATCTTTCCAGTTCAGATTACCCAAAGATTAGACTTTACCATAACTTCCATCATAATTTCCAACTTCTAGTATTTAAATCACCCAGAATGACAATTCTGAACAGAAGATATATAGAGATATATATATATATCTATATATATGTTATATATTTATTAACGAATGTCCATCTATTAATGGCATTTTAAAGATATGTATGTGCATGGGTATACATATATAACATACATAAATATAGAAACACTATTGAATTAGAACAAACCATCTGATATACCATTTGCACCTACAAAGGTGACATACTTATTTGGACACACTAGATTAGATACAGAAAAGTATATTAAGATTGGGAGGAAATATCCTATTCTTCATTTTTTTCTTCTTTCAAAGATTTTATTTATTTATTTTTAGAGAGAGGGAAAGGGAGGCAGAAAGAGAGAGAGAAACATTGATGTGCAAGAAAGACATCAATTGGTTGGCTCTCACCTTCTCCAACTGGAGACCTGGCCTGCAAACCAGCCGTGTGCCCTGACTGGGAATTGAACCTGCAACCTTTCATTTTGTGGGATGATGCCCAACCTACTGAGCCACACCAGTCAGGGCAATATCCTATTTTTCAAACCAGATAATGCTGAAATCTTCACTGGAATTTAGATGAATAGAAGTTTATGAGATCATAGTCCTTGTTCCCTGTCCCTCCATATTCTAAGAATTTTTGTCATTGTGGGGGGTGTTCTAGAATATAAAATCATGTGATTATGAAAGATGCATGTGCTTTCATTTGGTGGAACTTTGAGTTCAGGCTTTTGCTATACTATATTTGCTAAAGACATGACAGCTAACAGACCTAGTGAATCCTGGCTAAGTTACTTAATAGCTAACCAGTTCTACGCGGTGGGAAAATGTGTAGGTTTTCTGAGTCAATTGCTTTGCAGAGGTGTAGGGCTGGCTATGAAGAGGGCTAGGTGGTCCTACGGCTGGTGACAGTAGAATTAACTCCAAAGGGAAATCAACATTGGTATCTGTGATGTCAGAAGGTGATTTGGGAATGCCTTACTATAAGTAGCAGGGACATCAAAGGCACCATGTATTCATTTGGAAGAGAGTCCCCAGAGGAATAAATGTTTGAATCAGCAGGAAGGAGACAGATGTTGGGAAGTTCTGTAAATACAGTTAGCAGACCAGGTGACTTAGAGCTAAAATCTGGGTTTCATCTTTTATACAGTTTGCCCTGCAGGACTTTTAGCCTATCCAATTAAGAGAGGCTTGTTTCTCCAAAATTAAGTACATGGAGGAGTTAGGACCTCTTACATTGCTTTTTAATTGCACAAGGCTTTTTTGTGAAGGGCTAGATATTACTCAAGTTAGCAGTTAAAATGTTTCCCTGAAATGCACTGCTGTGGAGCTATGCTGGGGGAGCCTTTATGAGGGAGGCATGAGACTGAATGACTGAAAAGGAAGAAAGCATTCCATTTTCAGGGCATGAGGGTCTCATTTCTGAAAATCTAGATGGGATGGGTACTGCCTTGGCCAGTTTTCCCTTAGTTTTCACAATCAGGAAGCAGAGGTGAAAATAACCTCCACTCAGAGAGTATTCTTTTATCTCCCAAACTTGGCAACATAGAATATCAATTTGCTCAAGTGAGTTCTTAGAAAAGACTGACATATTAAAATTCTAATACTTTGGACATTATCCATCTATTGTGCCTCCATTCATATCAGGCATGTTCAAAACAATTTGGATTTTTTTACTGTCTTCTCTCTGTATGCTGTGAATACTTCTAAAAAGTGTCCACAACCAGGTGAATGTGTTTCCCATATAGTGGGATTTAGAACCTCATTTTACATTAGGCTGTAACTCAGTTGTTTAAGGAAATGAAAACTATTTTATGAGACTATAATAAATAACTATTTATTTATACAAATGGTAATCATATACTAATAAAATGGTAAGAAACAATTTTAAAAAACAATTTAGAAATAGATAAAATATTGTATAAGAAAAAAGTAGGAAATACTGAAAAGATATCATAAATATTGACACTGTAATTTAACTAGTTTCATCCAATGTCAAATAACAAATTAAGTAAAATAAAGTATCCAAGATAAAATGAGACGGGGAGACAACAGCTAAAGTAGAGAAGAGACCTCAGAAGTTGGTCGTGAAGCATATAATCATTTTAAATAACTGGATAAACAGCAGAAAATCTAAAATAATCACTCATTAAGCAAATGTATATTGATTGCTTACTTTGCATCAGAAACTGCAATAGGTACTGGAGTTCTGTTGGTAACACATTGGCAGGTCTCAACCATTAAGGAGCTTTTTTCTAGTGGCTGGACACACAGTAAACAAGTAAACTAATTAATAAATAAAATTACTAAATGTGATATTTTTCCAAAAAAAGAATGAGCAATGTGCTATATGATAGATGGGTACCTGGTTAGAGTGCAGGAAAACATTTCTGAGATGACATTTATTCTGAGACATGAAGGCTGGGTCCAGTCATATAACTAACTGGCTTAGGCAAAGGGAACAGTGGGGCAAACGTATAAAGAGGGAAAGTTCTGTGATAAGAGTGTGGCTGAGGTAGAAGGGCGATTCGGGGGGTGGCAGGGACCCAGCTGAA